ACCTATACAAAAAAAAAAAAATCCATTATTTCGTATTGGGCTGATACTCTAAAGTTCCATTTACAGTGCATGGTCAGAGGTAGGTAGTAACAAGATATATATATATATATAGATTTTTTTTTTTTTTCCTGAGGACACTCCAGCATTCTAGTACAGCACAGGTAGAAATGGAGCATGGAGCACTTGAAGGCTGCTTCAAAATAATAAAATAATATGAGTGAATCTATGAGTGGCTCCACCCCATAATCTATGTATATATATATATATAATTTTTTTTCCCCTGAGGACACTTCAGCATTCTAGTACAGCACAGGTAGAAATGGAGCATGGAGCACTTGAAGGCTGCTTCAAAATAATAAAATAATATGAGTGAATCTATGAGTGGCTCCACCACATAATCTATGAGTCAATTATTCACCTATGCAAGTTTTAATAAACTAATGCTTTAACATGCAGTGATAATTTTACAGTTTAACCCCAGCAGGTCCCGAGGACTCGCTGATCAGAAAAGTATGAGTCCCATTATGCATTTAGAGAGTCCCAAATTTCGAATTCTGAAATGCTTTACTTATTCAATTGGATATGATAATAACATAAACAACAACAATATACATTGATAACAGTTTTATTTCTTATAAACAAATGCTGCAAAAAATTTAAATAATTGAGGCATACAAGGTTTGCTGAGAAATAGGTCCTTATTTCATCCCATGGTTCAATCTTTGAGTTCATAAATTCTCCTCTCTTTACTTCCAATGATGCAAGGCTTTCTCAAAGTGAATTTGTTGTCGTAAAAAACTGTCCAACTTTAGCTGCTTCCCTTGTGATATCTCCGCAATAAACTTTCGCAACACTTGTTTTAACGTTACACGTCTTGGCAATCGCCTGCTTTCCACGCGGTGAAGGCCGATCTCGCCAATCTTGTCTCGTGAGAACGGAAATCTCATCACGCGAGATCAAAACAACAATGGCGGCGATTATCAAACTGCGATCATTGCTTGAAAAAAAGATGTGCCGTAGGTTTTTTTTTTGTTTTGACTGAGAAATTTCCTTGCGTCCCAAAAACGCACATTATTTGGAACTGTGCGTCCAGCGGGAAAATTATGCGTCTCGGACGAGGGACGCAGAGGTAATGAGATGGCTAAACATGATGTCATTTTCTTATTGGATCTTAACTTAAAATATGTGAAAAAAAAGTGAGTCCGTTGAATTTACAGAATACATGCACGTCATGGTGAGGATGGTACCACCTCTACCTTAATTTGTGCTCGGAAAAACCCTGGAAAAAAAAAAGATGCCATTGCTTTACGTGCATGTTAAATATCACAATAATATGAATACTCAACACCCATAATCACGTTTTTCAAATATCGGGCAGCCCTACTAGTCACACACGAGAATGACTGTGACGTTTTGATGACCATCACATTACTCTTTTTTTCCCTGAAAGCATGGTGGTTGTGCCTGTGTCAACGATTGTAAATCGATTGCTGATTTTAGGGCGTGAAGCAATTTGTTTCGTACCTTTGCGGCTTTGAGCTAGAGGCCCATCCAAAAACTTTGCTCCATTTTTGATTTGATATGGAACATTTAACTTTGTTTATCAACTCGTTATGTACCTGCCATGTTGGCGGGAACGGTGAAGATGTCCTCCTGCGTGCTGCGTGTTCGATTGTCTTCTTGTGTGAAGTCGGCGTAACGTGCAGCGTCTGAGAGAGTGGTGGGTGTCAGCAGCATGTGAATACCCGAGCTGAACACGCGGTTGAAGTCGTCTGCAATCAGCCGACGAACCCTCTGGGCCTTCACAAAGTAGTGCTCGTAGTTTCTGACAAGGTGGGACGAAAATGTTATGATGCTGGAGAAGAAACAGAAAATATGTTCAAGGAATCACTGAAAAATATTGCCAAAATGACTGCAATCTAAATTCAATTGATTGAGTGTGTTGAATAACCGTTTCATGTTCAAAGGAGGGCAGGCTCATTTGGATGAGGCACGGGCTGCCGTTTTCAAAGGGCTGATTTGAGCAAGACAAAAGAAGTAGTTGGTGAAATGTGTTGATAATTTTTGTTCCTTGGTATATTTTTGACACCCGGGAACAGTTTTTATTTGTGGGGTGGGGGTAAGGATAAAAAAGAATCCAAAATACTGGATCCATGAATCACATATATGTGCCTCAATTGTGCATTGCCAGATCGAAGCATAAATTTGTGCATACACGATGTTTGTGACTGAGGCTTATTGTCGCTATCGTAGCAACTTTCTCTGAACCCTTGAAGCAACTACTGTACTTTCCCAAAAAAGCAACTGACAATGCTCGGGGTGGACTGGGACATATAAATAAATACATTAATAAAAATGAGCCTGAGCATTTTTATGCTTCGTCTGCCCCACTCCTGCCCCCTTTATAATGATCTCATTTAAACTGTATTCCATCCTATATATCTATTTGTCTCATGAGGGAAAAAAAAGTTCCCTTACTGTTTGAGCAGGAAGTAGTTTCCAGATAATATCCTTCCTCTCACAACGTCATTGAACCCCTCGTGTCGTGTGGTGGCATACATGGCCTCTGTGGAACTGTCCACTTCGCTTCGATGGCCTGAGCAATAGAGTACAGTATTATTATGTTTATCATCATCATCATCATTATCATCTTCAAACTTCAATACCGCATGTCTATCTAAGTGAGGCAGCAGGGGAGTTTCCCTCGAGCTTTTTCAATGAGTACCAACTCAAAACACAGTTTCCTGCGCAACCCCAATGCATGTGGTATATGAAAGCATCTCTTGTTGGTTCTTACCATACTGGAGGCCATCGAAACGCGCCATGTTCGATGCCACCTCAGCACAGCACAGGACGTGGTAACACGCAATGGAATAGTGGCTGTGGGGGAGGGACACTTGCTCCACACGCGCACCAGATTTCTCAAACATGTCGGCGACCCGACTCCACTGTACAGCGGTCTCCTCGGACAGTCCAGGGGCGTAGAACTCCTGGTAGGCAGGTTGCCATGGGAACAACCGCTCATACTTGTGATGAACTTTTAAGAATGTAATGCTGTCTTGTGTGCGGTATGTACGTGTTATAGGATTGCCCTTTATAAGGAAAGCAATTATTTTATAACTGGAAATGAAATGGATGCCAAAAGATTACTGGAAGCAAATCCGAGAAGTATCGGTAAAATAGAAGACAAAAGTTAAATACAGTCCAATCATGCAACATCACATGATTTGTGATTATCCAGGTGCATCAACAGTGGAAAAAAAAATAGAGGTTAGTACAATAAATGTTTGGTGATAAAATGTTTAGTTTGCAAATCTTTCAATGAGCATCCTACAAAAATATAAGAATAAATGAACCTTTGGGATGCCTATGCAGAGGTTCTTGACGTCGAAATTTTCAGGCAGCTCTGTTGGCGATGGGGGTGCAGGAATCGTTGTGGAGTCTTTTGTGTCAATGCCTTGGAGAATACCTAATTGATGTGCAAACAAGATCTCAGATAAGATTTCCCGGTTACATTTCAACACTTGCAGTGTTTACAAGACAACAAATGAATAACCTGCCTACATTTCATTTCGAGATGCCTTGTGGAGGACAATGAACCACATGTGGTAACAAAGGGGACATACTGTTTTTTGGAAAATTGACGTTTTAATTGTGTGCATACAAATGATTGGTCTCTGGAGTGCCTACCCCACCCGTCATGTGTGAAATTAAACAACCATGTCAATCTTCTGCTATCTATCTACCTAATGATTAAAATGTGTCTCGCCGAAGCACACACACTGGCGAAGCAAACCATGAGGCCTCTAGTCACAAAGAAAAGTCTACAAATCAGTCATGGTAACAAAATCCAGACTCGCCTTCGGCCCATCAACATAATGTTTTGGGAACTCCAAGGAAAAATAGGACAGGAACTCATAAATTATGCTTATTTGTAAACTAGTTCCACCATTTCTAAAAAGTCAAATAGTTTTTTTTGATGACTTCCTCAATTTGCAAAAAAGTCAAATTAAAAAAAAAAAAAAAGCTCTACACCCAATGTGAAGGGCAAGAAAAATACCCCACACCCACCGTTTAAGAATGACTTCAAAATATACCGTAAATTCCGGGCTACAGACCACACCTGATTAAGAGCCGCATGCTCAGATTTATGAAGAAAAACCAACTTTGTAATTATATGCGCCGCACTGTACTATTTTCCGCTGGCCAATGAGTAGGTGGGGGTTTGCTTCTGCGTCCCTAGCGCCGAGTGACGCTGAACCCCCGCAGAAAAAAAAAAGCAACATTTCTAAAGGTTATCCTATATTTTGTTGTTCTACTTCTTCCATTCATAATTTTGCTGCTGTGAATTGGGAATTTCTCCATTGCGAGACTTATAAAGGTTTTCTTATCTTATCTTAATTACGAGGAGAAATACTGCAGCCCACTAGGCTTTAAATAGAATAATGCAAATCATATAAATGGGAAAACATATATGAAATGATTTCTATAGTCAGCCGCTTAAAAATGATCATCGTTGGCAGCTTTAGGCCCGATGCTGCACGGCTCAAAACACAGGTAAAATGTGTTCTCTCGTGGCCGCTTGTTTTCAGTATGATAGGGGAAGTCACCTTTTTTATTTACAGTCCGAGTGAGAGGCAAATCAAATGTCAGAGGGTCTTCGTCCATATTTATTATTTCATCTGGGCTGATGGAATTCTCCGCTATCTTTTGTTTGTGTGAATGTGCGGAACGAAGCAAGTATGTCCTCGTAATTGGGAGGGAGATGCTGACACAACGTCGCGCGTGCCCTAATAGACAGGCTTCCATTTCATGAATCTATAACACCACAACGTCCCACCTTTAAAACCTGTGGTTGTCTTTTTACACTAGCTCAGTTCTTCTTGCCGGAGCCTCCACCTTCGCACCATCGACTCGTCTATGCCAAGATTAGGCCAAACAAAAAAGAATTTTCAGCATAGGGTCGGTAGGTCAGACAAAGTTTTTTTTTTTTAATCTCCCCCCCACCCCATCAAAAATGTAAACAAAATAACCATAAAACATAAA